GACGAAAAGTCGGCAATAGAATTTTGGTTAAAGTGCAGAATCATCCACTGCTTGATGCGTTTTTAAGAACTGCACATACTCGGTATCCATGTGCACATCGATCTATTTTCACTTTAAAAAAAAATCCTAGAATTGCACAAAAATGGCACTGTGCACACCCTTGACATTATCTATGTACACATCGACCTATTTTCACTTAAAAGAAAATTGACAAAAATCTAATTGTTTTTACCCTTGTAAAAAGCGGCGAACAAATAAGTGAGCAATTCTGCTGCACTTTACCGATATTTTCAAAGAAAAGGCATCATTCATTATAGAAAATTACGTTTAAACAGCCAATGAGATGAAGTTATGCTTCAGCGATAAGTCGGTAGCGAAATAGCGATGCAGGCATCCACTCAGTTATGTTTAGCAATTTTTATATAGAATGGTTGGAACTTTAATAGTGGCAACACAGCTGAAAAAATGCTACGCAACAAAAACCAAAGAATATCACATATACCACACGTGAACTACATACCTACCTTACCTCTCAGCAAAAAGACTCGTCCTGCCTACGTCACGCACATGCGGAGTGACGCGAAGAACGAATCCTTGTATTAGCTCACGGTCTAAAGTAAGTGTTGTCAGGATGTTTTCAAAACAAGAACAACGATGTTGGATAAAAATTGAATGTGCCAGAGGTCGTACAGCATGACAGTGTCATCAAGGACTTCAAAAGGCTTGCGGGGAATCTGCATTGCCTTACAGAACCGTAGCAAGATGGGTGAAAGCATTCAATGAAGGACGCCAAAACATGGCAGACATGCTGCGGCCAGGTTGTCCGAGTGTCAGCGATGCAGACATGCAAGCTGTTGCCGCACTAATGGACAGTGATCGCCGCCAAACGTTTCATCAGCTGGCCGGACAAACAGGATTAGCGCATAAGACTGTGCTGCACATTCTGAAGGAACGCCTGTCCATGAGAAAAATTGCTTCACGATGGGTTCCACATCAATTGACGGAAATGCAGAAATGTCTACAATACAATGCTGCCCGAACCCACCTGGAGCGCTATGAGCGCGAAGGAGATGCTTTTTTACGCCGTATCATTATGCTGGATGAGACTTGGGCCCGATCGTACCAGCCAGAACTGAAACGCCAATCAAACGAATGGCATCATCACGGGTCACCACGACGTTCGAAATTTCGTCAGAGCCCCAGCAATGTGAAAGTTATGGTGATTCTCGTGTACGACCATGATGGTGTCATCCTAACGCATACCGTTCCCCCACAGCAGACCGTCACTACGCAGTATTACTGCTCATTTTTGGAGCACAATCTCCGACCAGCTTTGAGAAAAAAACGGTGACACTTTCTGCAGAACGCTCCTCTCATTTTGCATGACAATGCTCGGCCGCATGCAGCGCAAGCTGTGACTGATTTGTTCAAGCGATGGGGCTGGGAAGTGCTTTACCATCCACCAATGGTGACATGAATCACTTTTGTATTCCTTGTAAATAAATAGTTGCCACTATTCAAGTTCCAACCCTCGTAAATCATAATAATCTGAAATAGTTATTTACTCTTATGCTTCCATTCAGTCATGTTTAGCCTTTTTCATATAAATTATAATAATAAAAAAGTATTATATGAAATTAACCTTATATCTAAATTAAAGCATCAATCTTAGATGTTTAATTTAGATTTTGCTGCCCATGGTACTTGCTCAATGACTGCACTTTTAAGAAATTTGTCAACCTAGATTGATGCGGATGAGCATTATTGTTCATAAATAAAAAGTCACATATGGATCTGATTCTGGAAAGTCTAACATAAGATTCTAACACCTTATCTCAATATCTATGGCTAGTCACTGACCCATTGTCGAAAGTTTACCAAAATGATCACATTCCATACTGTTCAGAAGAAGGTTTTGCATTCCCAACTCCATCCAAATGTAAACATCTGATGTAAACTCTACTCATCAATAAAGAACATATAGGACCACTGATGTTTCCTCCAGTTATGATGTTCTTTTCACCAATTAAAGTGATCTCTCTTTTGTTGCAAAAACAACAAAACAGATAACCTGGTAAGGGCTTTTTCATTAAACTTTCCGTATACAGTTTGTCAAGATCCAACAATTCCAGTGGCAGCTGCAAGCACTTCTCTGCTGCACTGTTAAGACTTTCCGTTATGACAGGCAGTTACTGCCAAATATCGATCTTGAGAAGCAATTGCTATTCAATTAGAACTTAACTAGTGCCTCCTTAAGGAACAGTTGTCTAAAATTGTTTCTATACCTCCGAGACAGTCTTGAAATATTCACACATCTCACAGGTTCCATGACCAACTGTCTGCTTTTAAATGGCTAACAATTCACCACTTCAGATTCTTCCACATGACACTTCAGAGCCATAGCAAGCCATTTTGAGTCCTTATGCACAAAAAAAATCAAATGCTGTATTGCAAAAATTCCCTCAAACAAACTCTAAGCAAAGCACTTGATTCATCATCAGTTGAAGTAATGCCTTGATTTGCACATCAGAAAACATTTGATCGCTTTTGATTTGATAATGCTTAGGCTTGTCTTTCACATATTCCCTGCAAAAATGGATTACATCAAACGGCTATGACATTATTTTTGCGTATGTTAAAATAAATATGGACATGACTGTATATACTGGTAATTTTTTAACCTATAACACGTTCTTTTCTTTATTTTTAAAGATCTTCCATAATTTTGCTGCACTCAATTCTTCTAATTTATACTAGAGCTTATTAAAATATTACACATATAAATTTATCCCGCAGAAAATTAATTTCCGTATACTATTTCAGCAATTTCTGTATACTATTCTGTATGTATTAATTTCTGTTGTTTCATTATTTCAGCAAAAATTTTGATTGCAACCCGAGATAATAGGAATTTAAAAACTTTTTTTGGCTAATCTTTGGAATATGGTAACAGGTAGTTTGGCAACATTTTGGTAAGGCGATAAAAGTTACTAGCTAAGACTTTAGTAGTGTACATGGATAAAGTCAAGCGTGTGCGCAATGCCATTTTTGTGCAATTCTGGGATTTTTTTTAAGTGAAAATAGGTCAACGTGTACATGGATGATACCGTGTAAGTGCAATTCTTAAAAACGCGGTAAGCAGTTTGCGATTCTGCACTTTCTCCCAATTTCGCACCTAATCTTCGTCATAATTAAGCATTTTTGTTCCATAAAAGTTCTAGTATAAGCGTAAATCGGCTAGCAGATTGGTAGAAAAAATTTTGAGTAAAAAAAAAAAAAACATGCCTTTACTTCGTGAAAACAAAATGGCGTCCAAAACAAAACTAGCAGGTTGCTGTAGCAGGGTTGGTTGCCAAATTTTTGCCAAGTTACCATAATCCAAAGATTAACCCTTTTTTTTTCTTATGTATTTTGCATCACCATTTCAAAGATGAAGCATTTATGTTTACCCAAAATGCTTAGAACGCTTGAAACAAAATGGAAGGAAATGAGAAAGAAAGAAGGTGTTGTTTGTTCCATTATTTCAGCTAATATTTCAACGACTAGGTCAGCTAATAAGCACTTTGAAACATTTTAACATGCATTTCTTGTCCCTATTTCAAAGGTGAAACATTTTCGTTCAGCTGATTTCATAACAAAAAAGAAAAATTATCATAAAAATGTAATTTGGCTGAAAAACATAACAAGAGGACATGGCATTAAAAATAATGTAGTTTAGTGTCCTTGGATTGGTCGCAAAGTTTTCATATACCAAAGATTCATCCAAATCTCTCCATGTAAATAGTATGCAATACAGACATTTTAAATTTAAGATAACAGCGCATGCTGTATAAATAACCAGAATATTTATGACTGTATATACATATATATAACCATAATATTTAAGACAAATAACGTACATGGATATTTCACAAGGTTTTTAATGGTTTAGTTTGGCTTATTTGATTATGGCAAAGCATGTAATGGTTATCTGCTTACAGGAAGGGATACCTTAGTATAGGACTTTTTAAGGAAAGCTGGCTCATGTTCATATTATACTAGAGGTAAACAATAAAAACTCAAATGCAGCCAATCTGTTCATCAGGGATTTGAATAAACGTCGATATGAATGTGAGCCAGGGTTTCAAAATTTTACTGCTCACAAGATTTCTAAATAAGTATGCCCTGTTATGCAGATTTAAAATAATCTCTTCTATAAAAACATATTCATTAATAACTACGGCAACACGAGGGAAAAAAATCATTATTTTTCTAAGTAGTTAGAAACAGTTACATTTTTTTGCATTTAAAAAATTCACTAGTCATAAAATACTTTAAGAAGCCTGCATATTTATTTATAGATGTAAATAAATGCATTCTAATCAGATGGATTTCTTACTAGATGAAATAGAAAACAAACATCAAGATTACATAAAGAAGTACGGAAGTGAAAGATTCTTCACATATTTTCAATACGACAAAGTTTTCATAACTCATTCCATTTAAACTTTTTAAATCATATATCATATATATAGATAAAACCAAATTCCTAAATTTACATCACTCACTATCTCCTCATTGACCAAAATGGAATGATTATCACCGTGTCTTTTATTTTAAAACTTATTTATCATTGCAATTACTTATGCCTGAAAAGTTACGTGATGAAACGCTATAAAAGTCCAAGGAAAATAAAAAAAATTTCGCATCTTAATCAATACCTATGTATACCTTTTTTCCTAATGCTAATGTTCACATATAATAAATATACGTTTATTTATGATAATATGATAAAGATTTTGAGATTTAAACTTATATTGATTAAATTGAAATAAAAAATAATAAGTGTACACAACATTTTTACCAAAACACTATAATTGACAAGCTAAACATTAAAATTTTAAGGACGCCATAGGCGCACAACCACCGCCGAAAAGTCAAATCTGAAATTATACGAATAAAAACCACCAAAATTTAAAGTGTAAATAATGCTTGAATTTGCTACGAGAAAATGTGTTTACTTCTTCAGTCTTTCCTTCGTGCTTCTGAATTTCAGTTTCAAGTATTTGATCCATTTTACTGGTTCCTTACCGGCAAACAAGATAAAATTAAATATGGCGAACGCCTTTATCGAACGACTCTTTTCGAATTGGAAACCCTTCGCTCATAAAAGAGAATGCAGTTCTTCCTTGCTCAATGTTGATTCCAGCCACACCCTCTCTGAATTTCAAAACTTCTGTAAAATTAGTATACCTTAAAGATAATATTATTTCCGATTTTTGATAAAAATTGTTATTCATACATATTTTTACTTTCCAGATATTATTCGGACAACAGCCTTGACACCAAAAGAGAAAAAAACACCATATTATAGAAGTCCTGGCTACAGTTTTACTTATACTGTTTTATGCTCGAAAGAAAAGTTACTGAATTCTTTTTCAGTTGAGTTTTATTCATCAGTAAATACTTAGTTTCCAAAACTAATAATGATGCATATTACTATTATTTAAGAAAAAAATTACAACGGCAAACGCTTCTTCAACGTACTAGCTTATAATATGACGTTTTCAGACAGCAAATTTTTTATTGTGTTTAAGCCTTTATTTTATATTTAAACAAGCATCGTCATTATTCATGCGATAATTTTGGTTTTGTTTTATAAAATATATTTACGCGAATATCCATCTAAAATTCTGACAACTTTTTTCAGATATAATTTGTCTAAGGCTTGTCAACTCAAGTTTCTGACTATTAGAAATTCTTTTCTCACTCCCTTCATTTTCTAAAAGTGTAGGGTCCGATCGTCCGATTTACTGAACTGGTGGAATAAGTTTCATTTCGTTTCGTTTCATTTATTATTTTTGTGCAATGTTTAAAAGGCAAAAAGATTTGGCTTATGTGCAAAACACGCGTCTGCGTTTGAATTTTTGTGGCTAGCGGGAGTTTTAAATTTTTACTGAACTGACGAAATTTCATGTTTAATTTACCAATTTGCCTCTAGTAGAGAATTATTTTAGGTTTAATTATTTTGTAAGTAACCTAATAAAACCAAAGGAGGCATTAAAATTTGGAATAGTTAAATATCCCATTTAATTGAAAATTAATATATGACTTTTTTTCTGTGTGGTATTATTGAATTCTAAACTAAATATTTCATAAACTTGACTTGTAGTCTGATTTTTTCACTTAATTTCAATTTTATTTCTTATAGCTTTGTAAATTAAAACTATTAAGTTTGACTTATATTTAATTAAAATATCTTTTAATTTAAGATGACAAGAAAACTGTTGACAGTATGTTTAACGCTGACAAGCAACACTGCCTACGAATTGCTGGCAAACCTAAGAAAAATGTATTATCGACTCGGCGAAAGATGAAAGGTATTTATGTTTTTATAAACGTTAGAGTCATAATATATTTATAAATTGCATTTTTTGTATGTTTATTATTCCACTGAATAGAATTAACCTACCCACATAGTATGAAATTACCATAATTTGCAATTTTTTTCCTTTCTCAAAAAATATGTACATTGGAACAATTTGAAAATATATTTCTTTATAACCTTACTGATTTAATACTTCAAAGCTACCAGGTCTTCTAATTTTATCGAGAGACTCACAGATTTTTCATTGCATCTTCCAATTTCCTGAACAAATCTTAGTTTTTAATTGTTAGTCTGAAATACATTTTAGCCCAACAATACATAAAATTTATTGAATTAACTGAACTTAAATTTTGTAAATTCCATTTTCCCATCCCTAGCACTTTTCAGCATATTCTTTTTATGAAATTGTATTTAATCTTAAACTATCCATGTGAGCTAGGGTTTGGCTCTATAATGCTGAACTTCCTCCCAAAGTCCTCGAGTAAATAGTATTTTAAAATAATAATTCCAAAAATAACTGCTGCATTGTGCCTTGATTCTTTTTCTTCCGATACATATGCCAACTTAATTATCTGGGCATATTTCAGGATGCATGACTGGTTATTTATCACATTCATTAATTTTGAACATGATGAATATTTTTGAATGCAATACTGCTTGGCCACTTGGAAGGCAGCATTACTGAAGACATTTACATAACTCTTTATGAAATTCAACCAATGTTTGACGAGTTAATATTTGTATTTAGTTTTGTTTTATGTCAATAAATGGTACATTACTATATAGGTTTATTATTAGTTTCAATTTCATCTGTTTAAACTTTACTGTACTTTGATAAATAAAGGGATACTTGCATATTTGCACAACTACCTTAGAAAAAGTTGCAATATTTTAACCTTCCAGCACGCGTGCTTGGCAATTTTACTTGAGCACATGTGCATCGTATTATTTATGACATTCGTTATTTTACTGTTATTTAGAAAACTATATGAGACTAATAAAATAAATGTTCTTGAAGCAGTGAAAAAATAATATTTTAGAAAAGATTACAAAATCATTCAGGGTAGAGTAGACTTTAAGGTATGCCTTGTATTATGCTGAAGTTGTTGTTTGATTTATCGCCAAGTTGTTGTTTCATTTATGGTAGCCTGAGTAGTTGAATGTTATGGAAACCCTATTGCGACATAATCGGGTGCATGATTCTGGGAAATTTTGAATCATGGAATGTTTTGTAAGTGTTTTTGTGGTGTGTGTTAAAACTGTTTAGATGGATTTGAATGGGTTTGTAGGAAGAAAGGTTCAGATGGTCACTATGTGAAGCGTTCGATCAGAAAAAGTACCTGGTTTGAAAAAAGTAATTTGAGTATGATTAATATTTTGATTTTTACGTGGCTCTGGTTGTACGAAGCGAACTCGAAAATCATGGTAAGTGAATATTTGCGTTTGGTAGTGCTTAAATGTGTAACATGTTTTTCCTTTTTTATACTACAATCAAAAGTCATTAATCCGGACTCGTCGGGACTTCGGCGATTCCGGATTATCAATTTTTCCGGATTATAGATCATCAGTTTAAATCTGGTAAGATGGCATGCAGAAATTACAAAATTAAAAATATGAAACCGTAATTTATGATATAAAGAACAATTGTGATCTAAAAGGTATCAAAATTTACAAAAAGAAAAAGCTTAATATTTATTTGTTTACTTTATTAAACATTTCTTTAAATGTAAGTTGTTTAAGTTGCTTCGTTTCATGTGATAATGCTTTCTCTTTAATTCTATTAAACAGACATAATTTCTTGTTTAGTTATAAAGTTCCGCTGTTCAAGTCCTATAATTGCTGTGTCGAGAATACCGACTAATTTGTCAATCGAAATTTTTTCGTTTTCAATAACCTCTGTGTCTCTTTCTTTACTATTGGAAGCGAATTATAATGACGAGGAACTTGTTTTAAATCATATCAAAGACGGAGTACATCGAGATGAAATACTACATTTAGTAAGGAATTATAAGCCAAATAAAATAAAAACAATTGTCCTGAAGATAAGGATGCTGACAGATCAACTTCCAATTAATTGCGCACCGCGGCATTCTCTCCTCCGAGGAGCGTGAAATTGATAAACAGATTTCGGATTTCGAAACATACTTTCGCTTTAGATCCTTTACATATTAGCAAATATATATCGGAAATTCTATTTGGTATAATCAAAAGTTGGTGCTACTTTGGTAGACGGTTGCACGGATTTTTGGCGATTTCTTGGCGATTTTCCTTTGGCACGTTTCTGCAAACGTCAGCCATCTTGAAAAAACGCTGTTTTACGCATAGTAAAGTATTCGAAACTTTAAAAAAAAAAAAAATATCGTTAGAAATAATGGATTAATTTTTTGTTGAAATGTGTTTTTTAAGATGGCAGGCAAGTGTAAATAAATACATTTACTATGAGTATAAAATACTAAAGTAAGGTTATTATTACTTTCATATAGCAAAGAAGAGAATAAAAACCACCGCTATAAAACATTGTGCCAACGTTTAATTAGATTAAATATTACTGAAATTGAATATCGAAATAAAAAACATCATCCAACATTTAAAAGAATTAGAATAGATTATTAAATTTAAATACTTTAAAATATGTTATATAGAATATAATATATATATATATTATATAGAATAAAACATTTACTATGAGTATAAAATACTAAAGAAAGGTTAAATTTACTTTCATATAGCATAGAAATAGAATAAAAATACCACTATAAAAACATTGCGTCAACGTTTAATTGGATTAAAATATTACGTAAATTGAATATTAAATTAAAAACCATCATACCAAAGTTTAAAAGAATTAAAATATTACTTAAATACTTTAAAATAAGTAAATAAGAACGCTTCGTACACTAGAGCTAAAATGACAGCAATTGTTTATTGTCGGTAAAAAAGGAGGAATGTCTAATAATTTCTTACCATTACAGCGGTATTTCTTCCACAGACCACAATATCATATACGGCTGTATCAGAATCGGCTCTTCTAACGGTTTTCATCTGTGATCTACATTTTCGCACTTGATTGAAGAAAACAATTAGCGACGTTTCCTCCAAAAATTAAATAAATTTCTCGACCCTTGTAAGAATTTATAAATAAATCTTTGATTAGGAAAGCCAGGCTGGCGAAAATAAGGTCTCAAAGGACAATTTTTTGATTCCGAAACGAAAAATTCTGGTACTTATCAAAAACAACATTCATCTTTGAAGGAGACATTTTGAAGGAATTCGAAGATATGAATTAAATTTTAAAATGGCGCGGTAATGCACAATTTTCAGCAACTATCAGGGAGCTGATTACAGTCATTAATGCACAATTTTATAACCAATCAGAGAGCTGATTACATCATGACTAGAATTAAAATTATTAATAATCATACATAATAAAATCATTTTAAAAAAGAATGCAAATCTAGGGTGATCTTTACAATATGGTAACTGGTAGTTTGGCGACATTTTGGAGGCGATAAAGGTTACTACCTGGGACTTTGGTAATAATGTGAGCAGTACTCAGTTCCGATTACGCATTATTTTGTGTGAGGGAAGTGAGAGATCATGGGATATGTCATGTGATATTAATGGACGAATTACGGTTCTTTAATCGGAAAAGGGGGGGAAATCGGGGAAAAATCTGGAAATTTTGTATTTGGCTTTATTCTGTGTGTGTGGAAAAACAGTGTTCGTGAATTTTTGGATCCATGGCCGTAACTAAGTGAATTCGAAATGGGTATTATGTATGTATTAATTTAATGTATGTGCCTCATTTATATTTTAAGTAGTGTTTTGAATTTATTATATTTTAATTAATGATAGTATTTTGTGAATTTTATGTTTGTAGGAATTTGGTATACATTTTAGTGAAGTAAACGTGCATGGAATAATTTAAATATTTGACAGTAAGATGTGTAATGCTTGCGGTATGAATTCGTTGGTGACGTTTATAACAATAGATGATTTAGAGGTAAAAGTTTGATATTTATTTATTTTATATGTGGAAATGCGTATTTGGAAAGGGAATAGACTTTTCACGATCAGGTAATTTCATATAGTCAAAAGTCGTTTACCACCCTAAGACCTCAAAAAACTTCTGCGCAGTTACGCTTGCGTGAACCTTTACCGTGCGAATTTGCGTGTGCGCAAAATACGTACAATGCGCGGTTTAATGGTAAGGACGGGATAAGCTAAATTATCATTATCTTGCATTAATGTTGCAGATTGCGTTGTTCCTTAAGTCGAATGCATCCGGCTTATTATTTTTTGCAAACTGTTAGAGCAATTTTATAAAAGTAAGCTGAACTTTCGATATGTCAAATAGAATTTCCGATATATTTATAATATGTAAAGGTATACAAAGCGAAATATCTTTCGGAGTCCAGTAAACAAACGTGCATGGAAATAATTATATTGACACTAAGTATTTGGAATGTTTGCGGTATGAATTCGTTGGTGACGTGTATAATATAATAAATAATTTAGAGGTAAAAGATTTTGGATATTTTATCTATTTTATACGTGGAAATGTTCATATTTGGAAAGGGTAAATACTTTTTCGCGATCAGGTAATTTCGTATATGTTCTTTTTACCGGGTTTAAAGATTGAGAAAGTTGACATGTATTTTCGTGAAATTTTTCTAATTTATGAGAAAAAAGCAGTGTACATGGATATAGTGAAGAGTGTGAGCAATGCCATTTTTGTGCAATTCTGGGATGTTTTTTTAAGTAAAAATAAGTCAGCGTGTACATGGTTTATGTGTATGTGTTATTTTGAAAAACGGTAAGGAGATGTATGGATTGCACTTTTCCCAATTTTGCAGTGAATATTTGTCATGATTAAGCAGTTTTTTTGATTAAATTTCTAGCGTAGTGTAATTCGGCTAGTAGATTGTTGGAAGAAGTGTCAGTAGATAAAAAGAAAAGAAACATGTCTTTACTTCGTGAAGAAAATGGCGGCGGGGAAAAAAAAAATAGAGGTTGCTGTAGGAAGTTTGGGTCGCCAAATTTCGCAAAAAATCGCAAGTACCTATGTAAGATCACCCAAATCTAAAATTGTATTTAATATTTAACAGCCATAATAATGTTTAAAACATTAGATTAAATTTTAGATATTAAACCAATTACTTTTTAAAGTAAGGACTCACTGATTCTCATCCACAGCATAAATTTCATAAAATATGATAAAGAAATAAAATTTTTATTCAAATAAAATGCAAAATTTATGATTTTTAATATTAGAAGCCATAAATATTTAAACGCAGAATTATGATAAATAAGACGCATTATTTTTAATAAAATGTCACAAGTTTACGATAAATAACTATCAGCAATGGGTTTACCATAAGTCGTATTACTCGCCACAAAAAAATTGCCAAAAATCCGGCAACCGCTACCAAAGTAGCACCCAAAATTCAAGCTTACTTTTAAAATTGCTCTAAAGTCGCCAAAATAATAAGCGGATTCCAATTCGAAGAAGGACCCATCTGCAACATTAACTGAATTAGATAATTAACTTAGCTTATACCGTCCGTTATACTTAAACCGCATGCGTAAACGTTTTATGTGCATGCACACACCGCCCTTCGCACCATAAAGGTCTTACGCGCACCACAGAAACGCCTGTGCGCATGCGGGAAGTTTGTAGCTTTGAGGTCGGATTATGGGTTGTCGATTAACGACTTTGACTGTATTTTATTGTGGGTTTAAAATGTATTTATTGAGATTATGATTTTTGTTTGCCTATATTGTAGAATTTGGTGTGCTCCTTTGATTTTTAGTGAAATATAATCGATGTGTACATGGACAAAGTAAAGGGAGAGCGTAATGCAAGTTTGTGCAATTTTGTGATTTTTTAAGTGAAAATAGGTCGAGTGTACTGGATAAAGGTTAAAGAGTGCGCAAGCCTTTTGTGCAATTTGGTTTTTTTTAAGTGAAATAAGTCGATAAGTGCATGGATACAGAGTTTGTGCAATTGTTGTCTTGTATTTGGCTTGGTGTGGCAATTTTTGGCGCAAAAATGGCGCTTCGCAGCCAATAACGAGCAAAAATGCACAAATGTATCCATGTACCGCCAAAAATCGCCAAGTTTCGCCAAGGAGTACCCTAAACTATACATTTACCATCATTCAAAATTCATTTGTCATTATGGATGTTCAGGTTATCCAATATTGTTCATTTATCAGATCATTATGTTGGATATTGCTTCCTCTATCTAATTTAGGCATTGGTGTGCCATCTGTCATGCACAATGTTGTACCATATATAAAACTGTCAGTATCATGAACTGTAAGAAAGGCAAGATTTTATCACCCGTTTAGAATGTGTAGATTTAAATGAGCTGCTTTAGATATTCTAAAAATGTATTAACTTTTTTTAATATTCATATTTAACAGTTAATAATGCTGTAAAAAGAAATTTAAACCAAGTAATAGATTTAGTAGTCTAAGTAAATTTTTAATATTTAAATAAAAAATTCTGTGTTATGCCAGTTTGCTTGTGAGTGCCTGGCACCATTATAAAATATGTATTATTAAATGTTAATTTATTATTAATGTTAAAATATGTATTATTATATGTTAACTATTATATTTTCCTTCTTTTATAAGTGCTATCATACTTGAATTCGAAGCATATGGATTCTAAGGGGAATGGCATTGAAAAGAATGTTGATGAAATACAAGATGAATGCATTTTTGAACATGGAAAAGAAGTACTAACGTTTCTTCAGAATGAACAAGTTTATATTGAGCACTTAAAAGAGCTCCAACAAGTAAGACAATTTTTTCTTTAAGCTATTTCTCTAAGCATTAATTACCGAGGATAAATATGTGCAATAATTTTGAAAACTGATTCTTAAACAGAATTTTCTTCTTTTGGAAGATAAAACTTCTTTACATTTCTTATCAGGAACGGGAGTAAATAATACTGTTCTTTTTCCTGATAAGAATTATAATAAGATAAGAAATACATTATTAATGATTTAGTTTTGGTACCAATTCTAAAGAATCTTAAATATATTTTGAATGTGCTATGCAAGACTCATAAGTTATATTGTCTGTCTTTGCTTGTAGTTTCCATTTTACATGTTATAAATAAAATTTTCATTGTTTTCTTTGCATTAATTGTATTTAATTTACAAACCTGGCTTCAAGAAAAGTATTTTCCTTTTAACTAAATGTAGAAGAGAAGGTCATGAATTAAGACATAAATTGAGAATTGATAAAGATAAGATTGATAAAGACAATTGATAAGATATGATATTAATATATTAGACCAATTGATATATTAGAAAGTAGCAATGAGTACTTCCCATGCATGTTAATGAGTGGCAGAATCATCCTGGTTCATAATATTAATTTTGTTAATTACCAGGTATCAGTTGCACATACGTAATTCAGTTTGAAGATGCTGGTGGAAATCAGCGACTCACAAGAGAAAAGCAGTCTGCTGTTTTCCATCTTTTTTTCTGGGGGTGGAGAGCCAAAGGGACTTTGTATGGAAGAATTTTAGTTTTTACTACATAGATATATTCTATTAAAGAATGTTTATCATTGCATGCTTGCAGATGCTGTGTAGAAGTTTTGGTGTCGGTATTGTCTATTGTGGCTTTCTTGGGATTAGTTAAGGTAAATCTGTTGGTAATAGCACTTTAATAGAGTATGTTTTCTCAGTGTATATTCTCAATACAAATTCTACCATCACTGTGAAAAAAATTATGGCTAATCTTTGGAATATGGTAACAGGTAGTTTGGCGACATTTTGATAAGGCGATAAAGGTTACTACCTAGGACTTTAGTAGTGTGCATGGATAAAGTCAAGAGTGTGCGCAATGCCATTTTTGTGCAATTCTAGGATGTTTTTTTAAGTGAAAATAGATCGATGTGTACATGGATACCGTGTATGTGCAATTCTTAAAAACGTGGGAAGCAGTTTGCGATTCTGCACTTTCTCCCAATTTCGCACATAATCTTCGTCATGATTAAGCATTTTTGTTCCATAAAAGTTCTAGTATAAGCGTAATTTGGCTAGCAGATTGTTGGAAAAAATCTTGAGTTAAAAAAAAATAAATAAAAAAAAAAAAAAAAAAAAAATGCCTTTACTTCATGAAAACAAAATGGCGTCCAAAACAAAACTAGCAGGTTGCTGTGCCAGGGTTGGTCGCCAAATTTTCGCCAAAAATCGCCAAGTTACCATAATCCTAAGATTAACCAAATTTATTAGTAAAGATATTCAGACTTCCTAGTACCTGGAAGCCTTTATGAAAATGTCTTTAGAATTCTGTAAAAAGAAATCCGGTGTCATATTTCTGTATAATCTTTTAGAATTAGGCACGATTTTCTATAAACTGCCTCAAAGATCATTTTAGAATTCTGTAACAATTCAGATGTAGTTTCTATAGAGTTATGTGTAAGGATTCTATAGAAATATGTGAAGGTATTCTGTAGAGATTTATTCAGAGATTGTATAAAAATATCTGCAGTTTGCAAAGGACCTGCTTATGGAATTGTATATCATCTTATATATGTATAGAATTAACTAACAGAATCTTGCTGAAAATATCAGATTGAGCTTATAGAAAATAGAGTTGTAATTATAAAGAATTGTAAATATGTATCTTTGCTTTAAATTTGTTTAAAAGAACGTATAGAAACTTTTGAATATTTAAAAACATTATAAAATTAACAAAATATTCTTTGGGCTTTATAAACAATAAATGATATTTTTAATAGAACTTTTTTAACCTAAATTTTAAAATGATCTGGATATGGAAGGGGGAATAATAAAAACTTTCAATGTTGTTTTGATTTCGAAAACTATTTAAATAAAAACATTTTCATTTTAAATAATAGCTAAGTTGAATTAAAATTATGAAACATTTCTCTTATCAAGGGTATATATGCAATTGTTTACAGTATTAATTTCATGAATTAAACTTTTGTAATTAAAAGCATTAATTTAATCTTTTAACTAATTTTATGATATATTTGATTCTCTGTTTTTACAAGTTTAAGATTTTTGTATAAGTGATCCTGTACAAAATGCTGCATAAAATGTTACAGAAGTTTAGAAACTAAAAGATATTGAGCTAGAGATAGAAAGGCAAAAGTTTCCATTTAGAATTGATACAACACTAATGAATAAAAGGTGTTTATTTTTGCTCTTATGTATCCCATATAATACATCAGAAATTTAAAATTTGCATTGGTTAAAGTTTGAAAATTCCAGATTGCAGATTTATATAGAATAATATTCCGTAAAGTCATCATAATTTTTTTTTTTTGGCAAAGCAACATTTGTATATAATTCTGGTCTGTGAAAACTTTATAACATTTCTCTAGAATTTTATAGAGAAGCATTTCGTTTGCAGATTGAATTAGACTGGCGCAACTTTTGAAAAAGTCACGCGAGGCTACTAGTACTACTCTTTGTAATTACTCTAATTTCTACATTTTGAAGAAGTAAATGAAGTAATTTTATGCAGAAGTATGAAAGATTACCTATAAAGTTCCATAAGAATTTCAGTACTTGCATGTTAATGGAGGAAAAGGCAAAATTTGCCAAAAAAAAGAATGAATTGTTAAGGTGCCAACGTAGGCACTTTAACAAAATCAAATGCAAATTAATCGCTATTGCAACCATATGACATCACTAGGTTTTTAAGAACACCTATAATCCACAGTTTTAACAATGTAATTTTTTTCAGAATTTATAATTTGATAATGAATCTATGGAATCTTATAAACAATAAAGGTTATGCTATTAGTTTCTTAAAAATATATGCCAAGTAACCATCAATATTCCAATCTGCACATTCCAGATCCACATGCTGGAGTTCATATGTAAAATATCGAGCTGGTATGGGGTTCTTCAAAATGGTGGAAAAGGAAACTTAGGGGTACAACAAAGACACCATTTGAAGTCATACTTAGTGGAGTTCATGTGGCAACAGAAATTTGTATGTCAGGGTAAAAAGACTTTTAGATTAACTTTGAAACTCTTTTAGAATCAGTCACCAAACACTTTCACCCAAAAATAAAAGAAAATTGTATCAAATTACTGCCAAAGTTAGCTAATCCTTACCCACTGACATGTACATGCCAGAATTTCTATAAAGCTCTATCAGGCTCTATAAAATTTTTTTGTAAGGAAGGCACTGTTTATTGGCGGTATTTTAATGAAATAATCTCGGTAACAGAAACCATGATGTGAAAGTCCAATTATATTCTGAAATTTTGTAAAATTGCATACAGTATTGTATTGTTTAATACATTACTCTAGTTACTTACATCTAAAAAATTCATAGCATATATCATGCAGTATATGTTGGGCATATGTCTACAATTCATGTTTTTTATTTTGCAACTGAAACTTTTGAGATACTTATTATACTGTTATTGTATGCAATGAATATAATACTCAATTACATTTGATTTCTTCAAATATTCAAAACCAAACTTGTAATATTATTTTGTTAGTGGCAGCTTTCTTTTACTTTGGACTGCTATTCAGTTTGAATAGAATTTGAATTTACATGAAGATACATCAAACAATTTGACGTCTCTTTGAAACATGTATAATGTACAAAACATTCATAATTATCTAATTGATATACCACTCAACAGTAATTCTGCTCCACACTGCTGTAAAAAAAATAGAGTGAAAGTTAATTTTAAGTAGTCTTATCATTGCCCTAAGTTTTTTTTTAATAGCATTTAACATAACCAATAAAACAAGTTCATTGTGCTTATAGATAACAATGCACAATTTGTAGGATTCTTTTACACATCTAGATGTTTTAAATATTGATCAAATACCTGTAGCTTCCAAGTGATTGACAGCAAAACCTTTCCAGTTTTAATTAAAATAGATTAGAGCAGTGGTTTGCAATCTTTTGACATGTACCATCTAAACAAAAACTGAAAAACATTAGTAGGTTGATCTTTAGATTATGGTAACTTGGCGATTTTTGGCGAAAATTTGGCGACCAACTCTCCTACAGCAACCCTCTATTCTTTTTTTCCTGCCGCCATTTTGTCTTCACGAAGTAAAGACATGTTTCTTTTTTTTATCTACTGAACACTTCTTCCAACAATCTACTAGCCGAATACACTATGCTAGAATTTATCTAACAAACTCTTTAATCATGACATATTCACTGCAAAATGGGAAAAAAGTGCACTACCATATCCTTACGCGTTTTTCAAATACACAAAAACAAACCATGTACAGTCGATTATTTTACTAAAAAAACATCCCAGAATTACACAAAAATGGCATGCTCACACTCTTACTATATCCATGTTACCTGCTCTTTCTCATAAATAGAAAAATTTCACGAAAATACACGACAATTTTCTGAATCTTTAACCCGGTAAATAACATACAGTCAAAGTCTTAATCCGGGACTCGTCGGGACTTCAGCGATTCCAGATTATCGATTTTCCGGATTATAGATCACAGTTTAAATTGGTAAAATGGAATGCAGAAATTATAAATTAAAATAGAAACCGTAATTTACAATAAAGAACATTGTGATCTAAAGGGTATCAATTTACAAAAAAAAAAAAAAAGCTTAATATTATTTGTCTACTTATTAAACATTCTTCAAGTAAGTTGTTAAGTGCTTATTTTTATTTTAATATTACATTCTCTTTATTCTATACACAGACTAATTTTTGTTCAGACAAAGTTCCGCTGTTCAAGATATAATTGCTGTGTCTAGATACCGATAATTGTCAATCAAATTTTTTCGTTCAATAACCCTCTGTT